TAGAAGACTTAGAAGTGTTAAGACAGCAAAGTATTGCTGTATCTCAAAGCAATCTATAGATTCAATGCAAACCCTATCAAAATTTCAAGTCTTCTTCGCAGAAATGGAAAATCTGATCCTCAGTTTAGTATGAAAATGCAATGGGTCTTGAGCAGTCACAAAAAAATAATGGAAAAAAAAAAGTTGGAAGACTCACACTTCCAGGCTTCAAAAGGTACTACAAAACTAGAATAGTACTGGCATTAGTATAGACATATAGACCAAAGACATGAAGTTAAGAGTCCAGAAATAAACCCAAACATCTGTGGCCAACTGTCAACAAGAATGTCAAGAATTTTCAGTGTGGAAAGAATGGTCTCTTAAACAGATGAGGATGAGTCATTTGGATTTCCACATGCAAGAAAATGGACTTATCTCAGACCATATACAAGAATTCACTCAAAATGAATCAATACCTAAACATAAGGATTAAAACCATAAAACTCTTAGAAGAAAGCACAGCATAAATCTTCTTGTCCTTAAATTTGGCAATGGGTATACTTAGATATGATACCAAAATTGTAAAAAACAGAAAGAAAAAATTAAAAACTTGTGTACATTAGAGGGCATTATATATAAGAAAATAAAAAGACAACCTACAGAATCAAAGAAAATACCAGATCACCTATGTGATAAGGGTTACCATTCAGAATATATGAAGGAACTCTGGCAACAACAAAAACAAACAATCCAATTATAAAATGGGTACAGGACTTGAATAGCTGTTTCTCCAAAAACTATATACAAACAGTCAAAACAAGCACATCATCAAATAAAACCAACAATGAGGTAACATTCACACCCACTAGGATTTCTAAAATTTTAACAACCTGAAAATAAAAAGTGATTGTATAAAAGTGGAGAGATTAAAATCCTTATGCTGGATAGTGAAATGGTGTAGCTGCTTTGGGAAACAATTTGGCAGTTCCATTTTATGTTTAAAATGTTAATCATATGATCCAGCAATTGTATTCCTAGGTATATACCCAGAAGCAATGAAAATACATCCATGCAAAACCCTGCACATGAATTTTTGTACCAGCATTATTCATAAGATTCATAAAGTAAAAACAACTTAAATGTTTATCAACTGGTGAATGGATAACTAAAACATAGTATGACAAAACAATAGAATAGTATTCAGCAATAAAAAGAAGCGAAGTCCTGATAAGTGCTACAGTATGGTTGAACCCTGAAAATGTTATACTAAGTAAAGGAAGTTAGTCACAAATGATCATATACGATTTCAATTACATGAAAGTCCAGAATAGGCAAATCCACGGTTGCTAGTAGAGTAGTGGTTGCTAATGGGTGGGAACAGGAGGAAAGGTGAGTGACTGACTATGAGTAGGTGGTTTCTTTTTTGGGGTAAAGAAAATGTTCTAAAATTGATTGATTGTGGAGATGGTTGCACAACTCTAAATATGCTAGAAACTACTGAAATGTACACCTCAAAAGGATGAATTTTATGTACATAAGTTGTATCTCATAAAGCTGTTACATAAGAAAAATAGTAGGCTCAAGTTTTTGCCACGTTATATATCCCTCCCTTATTCTTTTATTACCCCTCTGCTAACTCTTCTTTCCATTCTTCCCTTCATATCTAAGACGTGTTTATTATTAAAATAATCTACATTTGATTTCTCCACTCCCCCATCTCCTATTAACTCCAGTTCACTGTAACTTAGCTCCTTCCCCAAATGGTAGCATTAAGTAGACTGCTACAAAACCTCTCACTTAGTTGTCAAGTTCATTAGACTTCTAATAATCCTTGTTCCTCTAATATCAAGTTCTCAAAGCACTTTAAGTACAGCTTCCCTTTTTTATTTTTATTTTTCTGGAGAGTCAGCTGTATAGCTAAGTATAGCTTCTTTCTGAAATGATCCCATTTGGGTTTCTATGACATTTTCTCATGATTTCTCTACAGCTCTAAACACTTCGGAATTTCCCTATCCAGTTCTTCCTCTATCTGGCTTTAAATGTTACTGTTCTCCATGGCCTATTACCAGAACTACTTAACCCTCCATCAATAAACTCTTCCTATGTGATCTTACTTAAATCAAAGGTTTTGGCTACCACCCATTAACAGCCTGATAACTCATATCAAGACCTCCCTCCTGTATTCCAAACACCACACACTAAATTCTGTAGCAGATTTACACCTGCATATTTTATATTTGACTCCCCCTCAACATATCCAAAAGCTAAATATTGTTTCTCCCCAAATCTGCTCCTCTTCCTGAATTTCTCTCAGTAATACTTTACCATTGTGCATTCAATGACCCAAGTTAAAATCCAAGTCATCTTATCCTACTTTCTCTCTCACTCCCCAAATCTATTACTGAATCCTATGAATTCTATCTTCTAAATATTTGTGCTATTAACCTACTCCTCTCTATCTCCATTGACACTACCTTAGTTTAGGGCCATATCTGTCACCTCAATTACTACAAAAATTCTTAACAGTCTTTCTGCATCCTCTCTTATCTCCCACCATCCCTTCTGAAATCTATACTCTACAATACCAGAATGATCTTTCTAAAATGAAAACCTGATCATGACCCTGGATTAAATTAAAATCCATAAACTCTATTATATCTCTAGAGAAAACATTGTAGAATACTTAGAATGGCAGGGACCTACCTGTGCAGCCTCATCATCTACTACTTAACAACTTAAAGCCAGTGCACCAGCTGTACAGAACTTCCCATTCTTAGTGTTCCAAGTTCTCTCTGACCCATCATGTCCAACCTTCCCTCTGCCTTAACTTCCTTTCCCCTCATTTTCTGCCTCAGTCATGCCTAAACTTTTTTTAAGTTAAAGGACATAAAGTACCTAATATAATGCTTGATACACAGCAGAGAGTTGAAATGGGTTTAGCTGGTTTAGGCCCCTCATCTTTATCCTGTCTCAATGGCTTTCACGTTTACAAGATAAAGTCGAAATTACTTTGTATACAAGACTACCCATAATTTGGTCTCTGCCTACCTCTCCAATTTCATGTCTTTCCACCACCCTACATCCTTGCTGGCTATACTTGCAAACCTTACAACTCCCTGTGTAAGTTTAGACTCCCATGTTTTGCTCACACTGTTCCTTCTACCAAAACGCCCATCCTTTTTAAGCCTGTATACTTACTGTTTTTAACCCTTCCTATACCTACCTTTTCCTTACTACTGCCCCCTTACTCAATCTCTCCCTCTTTCCCTGACAAAACTTTTACCTCCTTTGTGCACCCACTGCACCCACCCCCACATACTTTCTGCAACAAGAGCAATCTTAAAAACAGACTGTGCTTGTTGACATGTCAAGTAAGAGATAAAAGTTTTACCACCCTGAAGGCAGGGGCACTGTCCTATCCATACGTAAGTCCTCTTCAGGTGGCAGAGTACATACTACACAATAATTCCTTTATATTAAATCATCTGCATTTTTCCTTACTCCTACCACAGATACTAGCATAAGTTTCTATCAGGGATTTTCTTTAAAAAAAAGAAAGAACATACTTTGGGGTTACATTCTGGACCCAGTCTCTCCTTGCAAAGTAAACAGGTACACAAATACAACTGTACAAATTAAAGTTAATGTGCATTTTCTGATTTCTAAATTAGGGAAGAAATGGTCCCTGAAAATCTAAAACAAGAAATACTGTTTTGAGAATAGCAAATTAAGTTATGTCACATTGCTTCAAGGTACTTTGTTTAAAAAATTACTCCTCAATTGTTACTGTTAAACTAGCCAACCCAGCTTAAACCTATGGGTCACTTTGAAAAGTGGGAACCATTCTACTAACTTCCCACCTCTCCGATTACCAGTACAGCTTAAAGCAATTACTCATTTTCGGGAAGATATCTGAAAAGAATTAACAAATCATCAAGGTAATTCAAAAAGCATAACGTGAGGTTACCTTTCTCATTCACGGTTCCATTTATTCATTTAGAAGTGCTGCCTCCATCATCACCAAACCAAAATAGGCCTGTTCCTTACCACCACTGAAATATTTTTGTAAATAACTGCTAAGAATGATGGAATGCTACCCAAAGTGCTGCAGTATTTGAACTTGCCCACTCCATTAAACAAAAATTAAGAGAAAGCTTTCCTAATGAGGTGAGATGGGGTGTTCACGCAATGTTCAAGCGACTATACTTCTTTTCATGCACATTCAAATTATCCTGAATTAATTTTTTATTATCTTCCAGAAGTCTATTAAGCCTTAGGGTGGACAGGCTGCTTGGTAAAGAGGGAGGCTCTGCAATAATGAGTATCAAAACCTGAAACTGCGTAATTACTTGAGATGAGACTGAGGTGTGGAATAGTTTGTAAAACCTGTTTCACTCACAACGATAAATCAAAAGAAAAAAAAAAGACCTCAGTAAGGGCATTTCAGTACGAGCAGACTTGAAAATGAGTTGCAAAAAGAATTCTCATCACTACATCTGTCCGTATACTCGCACTAAAACCTGAACTAAGGACCGCAGTGCCCACAGGAGCCCCACTGCTTCCACGCCAGCGGTGGGGACCATGAACCTTTTCCTAGTCACTGGCAAGCACTGGAGACGAGACAATATTCCGGATGCATAAAAATAGTGTGATTACATAAAAGACTGAGTGCCCTCTCTCCATTCCAGTGTGCCCAAGAGCTGCCCTAAGGCCTGGCCGACTCAAGGGGGGAAGGGCTCGGTTCCTGACCCTCCTCCAGACCCCGAAAGCACCAACTCAGAAACGCAGAGGTGCTGAGCAAGGCCCGGCCGGCAAATGGGAGGAACGGCCAACAAGGGGGCGAGAACTGGGGAAATGCCTACAGGCAGGAACCGCACTAGGCGCAGCCACGCCCCCTACTCCCCCAACTTCAGCGCCGCACGCCGCCTGACAGACAAGGCTGCGAGGTGGTGCGGAGAGGGCTCCCCGGCACGCGGGGGATCCGCCACGACCCCTGCATGCCGCCGCTGCCCGCTACTGACCTGTACCTGCCGCCGCGCGACCGCCCGCCCCCGTCGTCTCACGCTCACACTGCCGCTGCACCCCTGGACGACCTCGAGCGCCCCATTCCCACTCCGCCCCAGCCTCCGCCTGTTTACAATGATTGGGACAGAACAGGACGAGCCGGCCCAGAGCGCACGCGCATTCCCTCCTCCCGCCGCAGCCCACTTCCCGGGTCCTGCTCTCTGCGCTTGACGGCTTTCGCCCTCGCGTGGAGCACGCTGGGAGACGTAGTTCTCGGAAACGCACCGTCCTTTCTACTTGAGGGCCCATTGTCGAAAAACACACTACAACACCCAGGAAGCATCGCTCTTCTCTCGGCCGAGGGGATCGCTGAGGCGACTGAGGGAGCGCGCGAGAGAACGCGCCGCGCTAGTGCCCAGCGGGCGCCTGCGCAATTCCTGGTCTTGGGGGACTGGGTGGGACGTAATCCTACCGTGGTCGAGTAAATCAGTGAGGACGACTTTTGGGCAGCACCAGTGGTGATGCTGACATAGTCTTTTCCACGGCCTGGTCAGCCTGTTCCTCATCTTCCGAAACGCACACCTTTTGTGCCTGCGGGCTTCAGTCGTCCCAACCAGTTAAACCAGCCTCGGAGGCCGGCCCAGCCTGCTGCTGGGTGGGGGCATCTGCCCGACCTTGGGCTTGGTGGAGACTTTTGCGGGGAGCGGGGAAGCAGAGGGTTGATAAAAGAGAGCACCGTGAGCCTCTGAGGATTAACGGGTGTAGAACTGCATTGGGACCCTCCTCAGAATTCCTAAGTGGGTGTTGATAAGGGCCAGCCTTTGGTTCTTGGGAGCAGTGGGACAGCTGTCTTATCACTTCCCTCTTTGGCTCATCATTTACAAAGGAACAGCTGTGTTAGAACTCCTCCGGAGTTCCTTGACAAAGTTTGGAAGAATTGTTCTGCTATTGCATGGCTGGAAATCGGCTCTTTCAAAGTGTTCCTTCATAAAATTTGGCACTTTATTTTGGAATGAATGGTCCTTCGTAACCACTTCCATTTCTAAGTGCTATTCTCTCTTCAGAACTTAATTACATGTGTAAATTAACCTCTGTAATCCAAGATGCACTCTACCTCCCAGATCAGCTTTTCTCAAATCTGACAATAGGTTTCTCCCTTGTACTCTGCATTTCCTACTCTGTAAAGTTCATCCCCTTGGCCAGACATTCAAGAGTCTCCACAATTTAAATAACAAGGTGGTCTGTGGTAGCCTTTGTTTTCTGACTGCTTGAAAAGCTTTTTTACTGACCCTCGTGACAGCAGAACAGTGTCCTCTTGACCAGTGAGTTGGACATGTTACTATGCCAATTATAGTACTAGGCTTCAGAAGACTGATGCGCCAATGCCGAGGCACTGACCCAAGTTGGGCATATTAAGCCCTTGGTTGAGATTGCCATATGGACAGAGAGAAGGAAGGGGGAGAAGAGTTTTTTTTAACTTACTGCTGATGACCATGTTAATATAAAGAGGCTCTTCAGTAGCAAGAATGAGGCCAAAAATGGGGGTGGGGTATGGAGAGAAACCTAAACCTGACCTTGAAGACTGTGGTTTCAGTTTCAGAGGCCAAGGTTTGTATAGCTCTTCCTTAAATGCTTTGAGCATGTGAGCCTAACTGGGTGAGCCAATACAGTTATTTATTATTACATGGGGCTAATTTGTGTGGTTGTGGAACAGATTTGTTGGTTGCCTTCCAGGCATTCATTCTCCCATTTAAGCCATGCAGCATAACCAATTCCTTCTGGTGGCTGAGTTCTAGAGATGGTCATGTGATCCAGTCAGAGCCTACGAGCGCCACAGAGTCTTGAGTTGGGGCTTCTAGTAAACTGCAGCATCCTGGCTCTCCTGGTATCATGGAGGTCTGGGAATGTGGCAACTATTTTGCTTCTATAAGGGGAAAGCCTGAAGGGATAGGATATAGGGGAAAGGCACTAGCACAATCTGAAGATGATGTCAGTACTGTCCAGTGAGTGCTGGAAAGGGGAAGAACCTTGTGTTTGGTGGCATCACTGGAGCTGCACTACCTGCTTGGCCTATCCTGCAGACCATCCTATAGACTTCAGAATTGTGAGCCATAAATGTCTTGCACATTTTCAGTGTGTATGGGGGCGGGGGGTGGAGGAGCAGGGGGCATTCTAAGACTAAAAATTCTAAAAGTCCTAACTAATTCATGGATTTCTTTTACATGATATTGGAAGGTGAAAGGAAAGGAGCGACACACAGCAGCAATTCACCGGAGAATTCCGCTTTATTAGGGAAAGGTGCTGGGTTATATAGGAAGGGGCATGAGGTGATTGTGGTGTTACTTCTACGGGGCTGGTGGCTGGTGGCTAGCTGCTGGGATTGGGATGGGGGCGAGAGGTGATTGGGCTTCAGGTGGCACCGGCAGGAACCGAGGACCCCAAAGAGAAGCCGGAAGTTTGCCATCTTACTGGTGGGGGCCCTTCATTCCCCCCTTTCTCCTCTATGGGGTTGTGGACGTTGCTTTCTCTCTGGCTGCTTCCTGCTGAACAGGGGTGGAGAAGGGAGTGAGGGCTTGAGGATTGGGAGAAAAGGGTTGATAGGACTCCCCTCAGTAAGGATGAGTAGATGTGGACTTCAGGTTTGGAAATCAATGAAGGTTCCCTGTAACCATAGGTCGAGGACCTGTTGATTCCAATGGTGCCAAGAGGATATGGGTGTCAGGAGCCAGGCGTCTGCGGCCATTGTTTCCAGGAACAGTTTCCGGTGGAGAGAGGGGTCCACCTCAGCGTGTGGTGAGGAGGTCACGTGAGGGTGAGGGATCTTCTGTGGCCAGAAGCTGGTAGTTCCTGAGTAAAAGCTGGTTGAAAGCTTGATTAGAGATTTTTCCGACTTGGGATTTGATAAACTTTATTATACAGGGTAAGAAGAGACAGGCGAGAAGAATGATTATTATGGGGCCTGCAATGGGCCAGAGCCAGGTGAGGAGGGGGTTTGTTAGTATTGAAGAGAATGGGTTGGAATTATAAGCAGAGTGGAGGCTGGAGGCAAGGTCAGTGAGTTTGGTGATGTCAGTTTCTACAATGCCGGATTCGTTGATGTAATAGCAGCACTCTTCCCGAAGGAAGACGCAGGTGCCGCCCTTCTTGGCTGTAAGCAGATCTAGGGCCCGCCGGTTTTGAAGGGTGACTTTAGCTAGCGAAGTGACTTGTCTTTGGAGAGAGGCTAGGGAATCGGCAGTGGATGCCAGGGCTCCCTCAAGTTTGGCGTCGAGATCTCTAACTGCCCATAGAGAGTGACCCAAGGCTCCTCCTGAAAACCCCACCCCAATGGCTGAGGTGATTAAAGAGATACCGACCATGATGGGAAGGAAAGCAGCCCTTTTTGTGCGCGAGTGCAAGGGAGGTTGGAGCTCAAGGAATTCTGCCATGCTGTAAAGTGTAAGCTGTGGGATTAGGGTGACGAGAATGCAGGGTGTATCGGAGTTGAGAGGCAGTGAGTTGAAAAGGCTGCCATTACACCAAAAGAAGTGTCCCGGTTGTGTAAAAGTCTTAGAGCCGGAGGTAGGGGTGTAGATAGAGAGGCAGTGAAGTGCACTGGAGGGGGGTGGAGTTGGGCCTACACAGTGGTGGATGGTGAGATTATCTGGGTATTCTGGCTCCCATAGGGGTATGTCTGCCAGGGGACGGAGGGGTTGTCCTTCTGCATGGAAGGAGTAGTTGGAAATATTAAGGGGCACGGCGGCCAGCAGTGGGCGCTGTAGTGATGCGCACAAGAAACAATTGGCGGTGTTGAGGGTGTGGTTGAGAAAGATGGTGGTGTCTTGAATGAGCTGTAACCAAGAGTAGGAGGAATAAGAAGATGAAGAGGCGCCGTCAAGAGTTTGGATAATGACTTTTTCGGAATGTCTGATATCTGATGCAACTTGAGAGATCTGGGAGCGAGAGGGAACATACTCTCGAGAGATATGAAGGGTACCGTGGGGGGTCGAGGACCCCTTGTAGTAAACTGAGGCTGTTACTCCAGCAGCCCATCGAGAGTCCCAGGGATCTGGGATTGATAAGGAGAATGAGCCGTTGGGATATTTCATGAAACGGTTGGAGGAGTAATACTGTGGGTACTGGAAGTCACCCATGTAGTGAATGGTGCAAGACCAGTAGGGGCATCCCCCGTAGGTGTCTGGCCATCGCCTGCAATAGGCTTGTCTTTGGTCATAGAGGAAGCAGAGGTAGGGAGAATAAAGGTAGCTGTAAATGAATACTTCAGTGGAGGGAGGAAAGTGGAGGTACAAAGGCTCAGAGCAGCCTTTCAGAGGGCAGTCTGATGTGGCAATGAGGGCAGTAACTTTTGTTTGATGCTGTGTGTAAGTCTGCTTGACTTTGAATCGCCATACAAAGGAGGATGGGGCGGCAGGGAAGACAATAGGAATGAGGGAAAAAAGCGAGAGAGCAGTAAAGGAGGAAAAAGTCATGATTCAGGTATGGATGGCAAAGAGGGTGCACGGGAGATGCGGAGCTTCAAGGGATCAGAGGGATGAGGCGTGGTAGAGTAGACAGCGTCTTGGGCTGTATCCGAAGGACTCTGGATTGTGACTGATGGGTCTTGGGTGTCCAGAGAAGGTGAGTCTTGGGTATTTGGTTTCAACCTGGAGATATGAATCCAAGGGGTGACAGAGTTATCAGGCAGTGAGAGCTTGGCAGCCGAGGGGGTGCAGAGAATAACTGGGTGTGGACCTTCCCATTTCGGGGTGAGAGAGGGCTGATCCTCTGGTGGCTTATAAAACACTAGTTGGCCGGGCTGTAAGACAGGAGGATTTTGGGAGGCGGATGGATCAGGAAGGAGCCAATCCTGATATTTCCACAATTCAGTGCGGAGGAGAGAGAGTAGTGGAAGGGCTATATTGGGAGGAATTGGTCCTTTGTGGGAAGGGAGCCCCGGGGGTAGAATCGGGCGGCCGTACATGATCTCAAAGGGCGACAAGAAGGAAGGTTTCTTTGGGAGGGCTCGAATGCGGAGTAGAGCTAAGGGAAGTAAGCGAACCCAGTCAAGGTGTAGTTCTAGAGATAGTTTGGTCAGGATGTCTTTTAGAGTCCTATTGGCTCTTTCTACTTTTCCTGAAGCTTGTGGTCGATAAGGACAATGTAAATGCCAGGGGAGCGAGAGCGACTTGGAGAG